GACTCAAGCATCATAACTATGTAAAAGAACAAAGGTGATCGGAGTGACTGCAATAACTACAAGTGACTATTACTGCTGTGTACTGGTGGGAAAGTACTTGCGAGAATTGTTCTGCGAAGACTCCAAATCCTAGAAGACCAGGTTTGCCTAGAGTAACAGTGTGGCTTTCGTGAGAACCTGTCTACCACATATATCAAAAATCAGCCTCTGTATGTTGTTTTATTGATCTTAGCAAGGCATTTGATTTGGTTAGTCAAAAGGTTATGTTCAACACACTGAAGAAGATTGGGTGTCCACCTACTCGTTCCACACAGGTATTAAAGGTACAATCAACTTTGATGGTTAACATCGGAGGAGTTTGTAATCAACAATGGAGTGAAGCAGGGGTGTGTACTTGCTCCTACACTCTTTTAAATATACTTCTCACTTGTTTTGGAACATGCCTTTCCAGATCAGGAGGGTGGTATATTCATCCATTCTCCATCTGACGGCAGCCTTTACAATGTTCGCAGGCTGAAGGCCAACACTAAGATAAGAAAGGTACTTATCAGAGAGCTGCTGATTGCAAATGATGCAGCAATAACTACCCACTCAGAGGAGGGGCTGCAATTTTTATTATCTGCATTTGCTGATGCTTGCTTTAATTTGGACTAACAGTCAACCAAAAGAAGACAAAGGTTATGGGCATAAAGAAGACAGAGGTAATGGTGCAAGGTGTTAATGATAGACCTGCGGTCTACACTGACGGTTAAGAGCTGGAGACAGTTGACCATTTTACTTATTTGATTTCCAAAGTGAATGACAAACTATCGCTGAACCAAGAAATCAATATCAAGATAGATAAGACAGCAATAAAAATGAGCAGATTAACAAAAAGAGTTTGGGAGAACAAAAAGCTCACAATTAAAACAAAAACTCTTGTCTATCAGGTTTGTGTTCTAAGCACTCTGCTTTGTGGCAGTGAAACTTGGTCAACTTATTTGCATCAGGAGAGACGGCTAAACAGCTTTCTCATGCGATGCCTAAGAAGAATACTTGGCATTAACTGGCAGGACAATATAACATACACTGAGATATTGGAAACAGCATGTACCACAATAGTCATCCCAATGCTCAGTCTACCGAGGCTCAGGGAGCTGGGTCACACATGGAGAATGAAGGATGGCAGAGTCCCTAATAACATCCTCTAATGTGAATTAAATACGGATAGAAGATGTCAAGACCGTCTTTACTATGATATAATGACGTGTGCAAGCGGGACATAAATGATACAGGTATTGAGGTGGACTCGTGGGAATACAATGCCATGGATTATGTTGTGTGGAGGGGACATAATAGGAAGGGAATGAGAATAAAGGAAGAAATGGCTGCAGAAAGGATGATAACTTAAGAGTCTGAGAAGAAACAGACTAAACACAAATGTTGACAACAAAGGTCCTGAAATCAAATGCTATAATTGTGGAATACTTTTCTTAACGAGGTCGGGTCTTGCTAGTCACACTCGCCACCGCTATGGGCTGTGAGTCCCACGCCTCCTTATAGCGCAATATAACACTATCGTCTGGAAAGTTGGAAAGGTGCCAATCAATCAATCATGAAAGGAAAGATACATCTGCTGTTTTTGTTTCTCCTTCGAATCTTCTGCCAGCAAACCTTAAATCGGGAGGCCCACAGACTTGACGAAAGCTATCGTGCAGACCAAATCTCTCCGTTTAACATTCATCTTTGTTTTGACTAAGGTTGTAACAGACAAAATATACACATTTGCAGGACATCAGGAGTCGCTCTTGGCAGTGGTGAAACGTCGCAGGCTAGCTTTGAATATCACTAAAACAAAATACTATCCATCTCTAAGTTATAAAGCTATCAGATTGTTGGTAGATTTATTGCCTTCCTATTTGTGTGAAAAGTAGAAAGACTTTTTCAGCTACGACAATAATAAAAAACAAACAGAATAATCGATTGGAAGTTAAAATCCAATAGAAGTTTTTGCAGCGCTTCCTCTACCAGAAACAAAGTTAGATAGTGCAACCCAAGGAACTATGCAGGTTAGGATGTTTATTATTATTATTCTAATGAAAGAATTTGTATCTTTGCCCAAAAATAAACAAATATCTAACCACACGTGCGCGGCAAAACACAAATAGAATATTTTTAGAGGACGAGAGTCTAACTTTGAATGTAATGAACCCTATGATTCAGGAAACACAGCAACATAACTCGCTATATAAAAATTTTTTAAAAACGTATGTAGACCATGACAACAGGTGGGCATCTTTTCTTGGCCCATTTCACATAGTGTAACTTCTATAATCTGCAAGAAGCCATTTCTACACTTGTTTTTATGCCGAAAGTATAACAAAACTAACTCAAAAATCGATAGCAACTTAAATGAGGGCAGACAACTAAACGGGCAGCGGGGAAAATAATGCCAGGGCCCACAAAGGAAAGAAAATCGATACGCCAAATGTGGATGAACTGATTGAATCCAAGTGATCAGCAAGCACGACCCACAAGAACACCCCTTGTTCTGTAATTCCCATGGTAGATTGCGTTAATAAGCATGCAGTGTGGACAATTAGACACAAAGGCTTTTATTCCCTATAAAGATATGAAAAGGGATTAAACGAATTCGCCTTGAAATGCAGAAAAATCCTGCACGCTTAACTATTTCCAACTTAATCATTAGTAAACAGCCTTACGTTTGCTGCAAATATAGTTTCTGCCGGTAGCAGTTATACCAGAGTTCACTGTCCGGTGTGAGTTCTGGATTCCCACTGGCGTGGAGGGGAAAAAACACTTGATTAATGCCTTTTAACAAGCGTGTCGTAAAAGGTGACGGATTAAGGGTTTGCTGAAACCAGATGTATTTCCTCAACATACTAATGTCTAGCTCTTGACAGACTTGTTAGCAGTTGACTTTATTTTACAGTCTAAGTTTTCTACTGGATTAAGTAGCTGATTTCACACACTAAGTATCCTTAGTCGCCTCTTACGGCATGTGTGGTTGGGTATAAGCTATCTTGCTTAAATTGTTTGCTTTCCCTATGAACTGTGGTAAGAAAGGACGGAACCCAGGTCTCTCTCTACTATATCTTTCTTTCAATATCTTTAAGTAATCTTAAATTACACATCATCAACATGTGTCATGCCGACAAGCACAAGTCCTCTCATATGTTCACCAGGACTGTAGATCAGGGTTGTTTTCTTGTCAGCCCCATGCTATATGGCCAAGCCTTCCAATTATTTATCTCTTTGTCTTCCCCTTACTCCCCCCCCCCCACCCCCATCAAATTCAATAGTTGTTACCAAATTGTCAAATTCTCATTACATGTTCATAAAATGTTGACTGTCCCATCTAAATTCTGTGATCAGTTTATAGCCTCCCCGTGTGGGTTCCGGAGCCCAATTATGAGGAAACTAGACAAAAGTAGACCCATGCCTGCCCAAAAGCATGTCATTAGAGTCAACTAATTGGGAGCTTCCTTCGAAGTCGGAGTACATCTGTCTGAAAGGCAAGGAACCAACAACAGTCTACATGCAAATGAGTCAGATCTGTGAAACAGATGCACACGCAAAAGTCAGGTTCTGAAACAGGACTACAGTCCAGAAGTGGACGAACAACCAGAACTTCCCACCAGAGCTTACAGCCAGTGAACTCTAAGAATAAGAATAAGTTTATGACTTTTTGTTTCTTTTTTGTTTTTTTGTGAGGAATTCCTCAGTTTGTTTAACTCTGTTGTATACTATGAGTATCTGACCCTATTTCTTCTTCTTAGAATGTACCGGCTGTGAACACAGGTGAAGAGTTCAGACTGTTCATCCACTTGTAGACTTTATAGTCTTGTTCTGGGACTTCAGTTTTATGTGCACATCCATTTTACAGATCTGGCTTATTTGTATGCAGACTGTTGGTACCTTTCCTCTTGGACAGAGGCACTCTGACTCCAAGGAAAAACCTCTAATTAGTTGCTTTTTACAACATGCATTAAAAAAAAAGTAAAGATCCCTTTCCACGCCTTTAGGCGTATCAGGCATATGGTAAAAACGCCCATATTTTTTACAGACCATCAGCACTCGATGGGTAATGTGGTCAGCATTACGCCGTTACAACATGCATGTTATAGGGAAATGGGTTCTTTTTTTTTCTCTCTCCCTTCAAGGTATTTCAGGATCCTCACCAGTGCTACAGAGCCTGTGCACTGTGCTATGCTTCTTAGGACTCAGATTTTAATTAGAAGAAGAAAGGAACACTTATGGGTGTGCCATGATGGTGATCCGTTGTTCAAACGTTAAACCTTTTCTCTTCCCTAATGTGGCCAGGAAACCCACACAGGGATGGCCCTGTTTTACACTTCGAAGTACACTGTTTATATTATGCTGGTTGTTTTAAAACCAATTAACATTCAGTGGATGATGTGATCATTATCAAGTCAGCTGCCTGTATTTCTAGTATTATTTCTCGGTAATCGTTAAAGACGGGGTCAAACTGGGAGCAGTCATTTTTTTTTTTAAACTGATCCTGGAGTGAGATTTGAACACATGACCACCAGGCGGACAGACAAGTTTCCTGCCAGTGCACTTTACAGATTTCAACAGGAAGTAAATATTATACAATGCTGTGTAAGATTACATAAACTGTCTTGAAACCAGCCACAATAAACATCTAAATAAAATATAATTAATTAAAACCTCCAACATGTGAGCAGTGCCATTCAGCTATTTGACATAAGATAATGAAACATGAAGTCAACCTTAAAACATGCTAACTTCAAACACACACAAAAATCAATTCAGCAGAGTTAACTTTCATAGCACTATTATCTTTTAAAAAAAGCAACACTTACACTGTACATCATTTGAACAACTAAACAAAATCTGTCCCTTTGCAAATTTCCTGATAAAGTAACAACTACTTAAATCATACCACACATACTAATTTACAGAGTACACACAAAATAAAATCACACGATACTGAAATATGTTTTTTAAATACTTACTTGATCCAGTCTGAACTTTTTAAAGCAGCTTTCAACATTTCACAGCGATGTTTTGATGGTACAAGGTCCTGTATCACATGAGAGACATTCGGTTGTAACACATGCAACAGATCACACAATATGAGAATTCAGCTCCTACATTCTGAACGAATAACCTCGCTGTGTGGGTTCTGGAGGTTTGGAGTGAGGGCGAGGGGAGGGAGGGAGGGGGGGTGAGATAGACCTACTGCCTCCCTGACGAGCATGTCAGACAAGGAAACTAATTACGGAAGTTTCCTTCAAAGTTGGAGTGCTTTGACCCGAGAGGTCATGAACCAACAGTCTACATGCAGATAAGCCACACCTGTAAAACAGATGTGTGAGCAAAACTGTGTTCTGGAGCAACACCAAGGTAGAGAAATGGATGAGCAGCCAGAACTTTCTGCCAGATTTAACAGCCATTGAATGCTAAAAAGAAGAATTAAGAACTTTATGATGCTACTGAGAGTCATAGTAGTGTTGTGGCAAGTATGCTTGTCTGGTGGCCACGAAAATTAAGCCAGCCTAAACTGCATCCCAGGAAATGTTCTAGGACATAAAGGCAGCACATAGGACATTTACCAGAAATGAAGGTCATCAAGAGCTGGCCATTCTATACAAATACAGGTCAACGAGCGTAAACGAGCCCTAAAACAACTATGTGAAGCTGCGGAATGAGCTTTTAACTGGCTGTGGCGCAACAGAACAATGTAGGGGATAGGCCTCGGTAAACTGGTTCAAGCCCTAGTGGAAAAGAATTCTTAAATCCCTAAAGCTAAAGCATCCAATCAATGTCTGCCCACATTACTCTGCCAACTGCCAAAAGTCTATCCAATAAACGTCTGTGCGATGAACTGACCGTCCATTTGTCATGCTGGTTGTGCAGATAGACGCACAGTTTGCTACTGCAGTGATTATATATATAAATCCATAACCTCAACACTTGTTGCAAAACCACCATTTCATCTTGTCCAATAAAGAAGAAGTCTAAGTCTTGGCGTCATGAACCAGGTAGGCCAACCCCTCAAGACTGTCTAGGATGGATAATGGGGCTGAAACATTTATTGAAAGGGGACAGACCTAGTGATGATCAGTAGACTTCTGCTGTGCATGCTCCTTTGTGGAGTTCTTCTTATTATTTATGGGTCTTGCACTATACACGAATTAGACCCTAGATGCATGCATGCCTGCGGATCAAAGGTTCAACGCCTAACAGAGCCAGACTTTTAAAATATTGACTTCGGTTCCCAGGTCAACCCAGTCTTAAACAGTTACCTGGTAAAGTCCTGGGAAATAAAGGCGGCTGGTGTGATGTTGACCACATCACCCACCAGTTGAATAGCCTTGTCCTAGACCTTTAAAATCGTTCTGCTACACTTTGTACAAAATGCTACCTCATTTCACTGAGTTCATAACATGGCAATCCTCCAGGAAAAATATTGGAACAAGACTGCTTACAATCATAAATATTCATAACAATGCAGGATGTCATTATACATACAGAATTACTGAGAACTATCAAAGAATGTTCAACGCATAATGGGTTTATGTGAGAAAATACATAATTAGCAGAAAGTCAATTCTGCACTCAAATAATGTTATCAGATTTTCTTTATTTGGTGGACAAATTACCAGCAGACATTTTTGTATGATCAGTGAACTAAACATTTTTATTTTAAATTATTATTTTTACAGAAAATTATCCTTTAACAAGTTTTTAAATGAGAAAAACAGAAAAAAGGTGCAAGTTGTTGAATAAATTTATAACATACAAGTGAGAGTTTAGGATGTGATTTTGGGAGAAAAAAAAAGGGGGGGGTGGGGGAGAAGGGGTATGGCAAATAATAAAAAAATAATAAAAAGGACACACTTTCACATCTTGAGGCGTATTAGGCAGATGGCGCTTCTTCTTTTTCTGTCCTTTATCCTCAAATGAAGTACTGGGCCTCACCCAACTCAGGCCAATATATGTCCTCCCCATTTCCTCAACTCAGCTCTCTAGTTCCCTTCACCAACTCACTTTTCTATATACTTACACCCTTTTCATGTAATTGTTGACATATAAGTCAAAATTCACATGTGATTTCCAGTGCTGCCGGTCACCTGTTTTCTGCCCATGGTATCTTATGCCATTAAAAAATTCTCCCTTCCTTTTATACAGTCTTTCTCCTTCCCACCTCTTTTTTTTTCAGCTGCTGTCTACTGGAAAGTTGTACTTGTCAAAGATTTATGGGGCATTCTGCAGGTAATATTACACTTCTTCATTTCTATGAAATTGGTGGGGGAGGGGGGGGGGGGGGTTGGGCGCTGAGTGGTCTCAGGGCAAGGCATCAGCCTCGAGGGCTGGAGGTCCTGGGTTCTAGTCATTTCCCCTGGTCTCTGGGTACCAAGATCGGACGCCAGTGTGTATTGTTGCACAGATAAAAAATCCCTTGGCAGTTGGAAATCGGAAACAGTAGCCTAACGGTGCTGCCCAGGCAAACTTTGGAGTTAAAAATCTACCTAAAGTATTTCAGGATCTTCGTTGGTGCTACCGAGTTTGTGCACTGCGCTGAGATTCTTCAGACTCAGGTTTGAGAAGTAGAACGGAGCTCTTATAGGTTACTACCCTTGTGCCATGATGTTGATCAGTTGTTTAAACCTTAAACTTCTTTATTTCTCTAACTATAGTCTTTCTTCTGGTGTATTTAGGTCACCCACATCTTTTTGCATGTGCCACTGAATGGTTAACTGCCATTGCCAAAATGTTAAAAGCATTTTGCAAAGCATATCCAAGCCATCCTTGTCATTTTCCTTTAATACCATTTGCCAGGGATAAGCATTTTGTTTTCCTCTAATTTTCTTCATTTTTGATCTTATCTGATAAAAATATTCACAGGATTAATGTAAACATCTATTTTGAGAAGTCTTGTAGTTTATGTGTCATTCCCACCGTCATTTTCCAACACTCACGGTTGTATAGCCATATTCCCAAGATGATGAATATTCTGAGTTTTGCCTTCGAACTAAGTCCCTTTAACTTCCATAAAGTATGGCAATGGTTAACTTTGTGTATTCTTGATATTACATCCTGATGTAACTTTACTTTTATCTAAGGTGTACACATATTCTTCAACTTCTTCAATTGCTTCATTGTTTAAGATAAATGTGCTATCTGTTTTCTTATTATTTCTCTTTACTTATTTTACAGGTATTTATCTTGAGTCCTATCTTTTAAGCCATTGTTGAAAGTCTTTCAATCTTTTTCTGAGCATCCACATAGTTGCTGATATAAGACTGATGTCACAATCCTCTAAACTAGATATTAGTTATTAGTGAGGATAATCATTACTGCACTCTGGACAGATCCATAGATGCTCTGATCTCACCCTCAGTAGCTCCACAAGCATAAAATGAATGATGACGCCTGTTGTTGTTATTAACCAAACATCTTGTGCACTTGCATCTTCAGTTTTCACCCCTATGCACATAAACCTGGACAATGATATGGAGTCATGCCCTTTGCAGTATTCTTCTTCACAGTAAGTGCTGCGCATATCAGTGACGACGTCGCTTCTGCCCAGTACCGGACCGACCATAGCAACTGCATTGTCTGCACATTCACTGCTTCAAACACCTGCATGAACCAGTACAAAGATGAAGGTTAGGCTAGCCATTCGTGAAGTGCTTAGTGATACAATCCATTCTTGCCTGATGAAGCCAACCGATTTTCTTGAGCATATTTATTTAGTTACTCAGTATGCCCTTGATGCAATGGCAGTTTCCACTGAGAGACTGCCAGTTGTAACAGCAAAAGCATCATGCATCTCTATGATGGTTTCCCCACTTGAGCTTACTATGATCACCCATGTACCTGCTTGCCCAAAATACTGATCCATTCATGTCAGCTACAGCACCCCCTTCTCCCTACACTCTCCTTGAGTGTAAATATAAAGAGGACTGGGGACAATGGAGATTCTTGAAACAAATCTGGGTTTACTGTTATCGGTACAGAAGATCAACTACCACATCAGATCATTAACCTCCTCTGGAACAGTGCTGCCAAGATTATGACTGGCCAAGAAACTTGTCTTTTCTTAAATCAAGGACAACAAAGATAAAAAGACATACTTACTTTCTTACTGTAGCCGTCACCGACAGGTGACATAACTCCAGATATTACTTGGTACCTTCCTGTTCTATGTAGAGCATCTCTTGCGATTTCTGAAAATAGAAAACAGAAGTCATTGTTGAAAAACAGCTGAGAAAACACAATTATAAATTTTTTTTTTTTAAAGTTAGCTGCATATCCTTACAGGACTGCAACCTTACCCCAGCCTGTAATTGCAGTTTGTGGTTTTACTAGGCTATTTTATGTTCAGTAATTTGCCAATTCTGAATGGTCAACACTCTATATCATCCTTAAAGTCAACACAAAGCGGCCTTCTGTCTAATCATCTGCAGCTGAATAAACCAGGTATTCTATAGTTATAAACCGGGTTTGCAACCCTTAAATCTTAGACATCAATCTCAGAAAAGGCTAACCTAGGCACAAATACCTGAAGAAGTCAAGATCTGTCAGCTGTAAACAGGTACAATGCATTAATGTCCTTAGATGAACACAGAAGAAAAGGAAGACACCAAAGTAAAGATTAAATGTTTGATTTAAAAAAAAGAATATATGCATGTTTTTTGGACTTTTCTTAAATGTTTGTTGTTATACTAGCACTCTATATAAGCTGTTACTTTCATTCCTTTTGTCTGATAGTTATTATACTAGCACTCTATATAAGCTGTTACTTTCATTCCTTTTGTCTGATAGTTATTATACTAGCACTCTATATAAGCTGTTACTTTCATTCCTTTTCTCTGACGTTATTATGTTATCACTTTCAGTTAAGTTAATTGTGTATTCTTTACAGGATGTTGCAGAACCAATCCCGGCATTGGTTGGGGGGGGGGGGGGGGGGGGGGGGGGGGGGGGGGGGGGGGGGAGAGGGGGTATTATTTCACTAGGTAATATTAATGTTCAGTAATCTGCCCCTGCTACTGGATGGTTGGCTCATGATACCATTGACAAAACTAATGCAATGCTGTCTGCTGCCAAATTGCGTGCAACTGGGATTGAAGCCAGCATCTCACAATTAACAAAATAGCAGTCTTGGACCAAATGAGTTAATTACCAGATGACACAAGTCTATGCAAACATATCCTACAAACCCCTGTGTGGGTTCCGGGGCCCCATTGTGGGGAAAACAAGAATAGACCCACTGCCTCCCCAAAAGCATGTTGTAAGAGTCAACTAATTGGGGAGCTTCCTTTGAAGACGGAGTGCGTCTGCCGGAGAGGCAAGGAACCAACAGTCTGTATTCAAGAGAATGAGATCTGTAAAACTGATGCACACGCAACACTCAGGTTCTGGAGCAGGACTGCAGTTCAGTAGTAGATGAGCAACCAGAACCTTCCGCCAGAGTTTACAGCTGGTGAACGCGAAGAAGAAGAAGATATCCTACAAAGAGTCAAGAAGATAAACTATTTTTCATGCAATCATAACCATAATCTGCAAATTAAAAAAAAAAAGAACAGATGGCAGTATTAATACCTTTTTTTCTTGCTGCTAATGATCATTAATAATTTTATTACCCTTTCTATGACTATCTCCAATTATATCATCATCATCATGTGCCCTGCCAACTGGCGTAGGGGCTTATGCATCTCCACATATCACGATCCCTAGTTGCCTGGAACAGCTCTCTTGATGATGATATCCCTCCATGCAATCATTTCAGCCCATCTAACATCATCTCTCTTGGTCTGCCTCTACCCCTCTTTCTACTGATCTTTACAGTTGTCACAATGTTCTTCAATGTCTCTCTTCTAATTATGTAGCCAAGGAACAGTGTTTGTCTCTTTCTTATTGTTGTATATGGAGATCTACTTTCATTACCTTCTTTCAAAAGAAATTAAAAGAAATACTAAACTAAAAATTTTTAATTCTAATGTCAAATCAGTACTATTGTATGGGGCGGAAACATGGAGAACAACCAAGGCAATTACTAATAAATTACAGACATTTATTAACTAGTGCCTGCGCAGAATAGAGGGAATAAAATGGTATGATAGAATAACTAATGTAGAAATTTGGGAGAGAACTAAACAGGCTCCAGTGGACCAAGAGGTGAGGAAAAGATGCTGGCATAGGATAGGGCACACACTGAGAAAACAGGAGGACAGTATAACTAGAATGTCTTTGCATTGGAACCCACAGGGGCATAGGAATAAAGGAAGGCCAAAAAATACATGGAGAAGAGAGCTGGAGAATGAGGTTAGAAAGACTGGGAGGACATGAGGAGAGCTCCATGCAATTGCGAAGGATAGAACGACTTGGCGTGAGTTGGTTAAGGGCCTATGCTCCATTGGGGGATAGAAAGGCAGAAGAAGAAGAAGTATTACTTTTGAGTCACATGAAGTCGCTGGAATGTTGTTTAAAAAAAAGGTGCTTCCAACAAAGAGCTTAATCTAATTATTGGGGTAGCCGTGCCCCCCCCCCCCCCCAATACTGAGAGGCCTCAAGGACCTGAGCTCCAGGTTAAAGCACCCATGACACACACACAGGGGGAGAGATGGGGGAGGGGAGAAGCGGGCAGGCATACATAAAATATACAAACATTTATCATATATTATATGGATCTGACGTAACATCTATCCAGCTGTAGTAGTTTCATAAGTAAAAACCCAATCAGAATCTATATATTATATATGCATATGGTGTGTATGACAAAGGTATATATATTTATGTGTGTGAAATAGAGATGTGTGTGTGTGTGATATATGTGTGTACATATATATATATATATATATATATATATATATACACACACACACACACACACACACACACACACATACGTTTGCCATAGATATATATAGGCCTTGATCTCATAATATGGCTGTAACACTTTAAAAAATACAGCTTATTTTACTAGGCCATATAAGAATGTATGTAACAAGCCACATCGGTACCATTGAGCAACACGATGACTTACCAAACATTCTAAGGTGCATGTTAGTGACTGGGTTATACGAACCACAAGCCAATAACACCACCTTCGCCTGCGAAGTCATGCTCGCACTGCTCTTCCAGCAAAACATGTTCCCCAATATAAATAATCAGATAATGCCATGCAGCCAGCGACGATTCGCGACTACAACTAAAATTACATTTTCGGCTTCTGTATCCAAAACTTTGCTAATTCTGTTAAATCTTAGTAAAACTATAAATTATTTAAATGAATTCAGTTTTAAGCAATATTTAAGTTAAAATATATTTTTTTAGTGTCTCTCTACGATGAAAAAAAGAGGCTGCAATCCCAAATAATTATATAAACAACATTGAGAGAGCCTTTCTTGGAATGCCAAGAATTCCTGGAACGTCCAAAGATTCAGATAGCCACCTACTGATCACCGCATTCTCCGGGATATCCTGATGAAAAAGAATAATTAAAACATCCTCGTATGGGTTCCTGGATCCCATTTTTGGGAGAGAAAAGACCCACTACTGCCATATCAAGCATGTCGTAACAGACAACAAATAAAGGCCTTTTCGTCAGAAGTCGCAGCGTATTTACCAGAGATGCGAGGAAAAAACAATCTTAATACAGATAAGCATAAATGTAAAACCGATGTGCACGAAAAATTCAAGTTCTTGGACACGATTAAAGTCCAGAAGTGGACAACAACTAGAATTTTTCCGCCGGAGTTTACAGTCGGTGGATTTGATTTGATTTGATTTGATTCAAGAACCGACATCACAGCACCCGGGGCATTCCCATAAGCGCTCCGTCTCCATCTTCAGCAGCCAGCGAAGAGTTCCGATACTAATGGTGCCAGTAGCTTTCTGATTAAATGTCTGTCTTGCCTTTCCTCTGAGCCTTGAGCTTCTGCCAGAACCTCTCGTCACCCCCAACTGCACCAATCTCACCAAACTGTGGTGATCCATCTGCTCCTCCGCACTGTACACGCTCTCCCACAAGGCACTAACCACGTCTGCCCTATCATGCAGCAGTATTTCACCAAGTTGTGCAGAGCCAGCCAGTCTGTCCGCCTGTTCATTTCCCAACACACCGGCGTTACCCGGTGAAAAAATCCAGACAATACTCCTCACTCGTGTCCTCCGCAGCGAAGCATGCCACTCTGCACGAAGCATGCCTGTTCTGATCCTCCTCAGCATGCCCATGAATCAGTTACAATTACAATGTGTGTGAGTCGGTGGATGATAAGAAGAAGAAGAAGATTAACAAAACCAGAGGAAAAAACTCGTCAGGACCAGACATCCATCATTGTTTCTTCTTCTTCTTCTTCTTCTTCTTCTCTTCCTCTTTTACCGCTGTGGGTGTCGAGGGAGATATAAGGTTCTGTTTCTAGCTCTTCTGGCTGCCTCGACCATAGGCATATCGTGCTGTTGTAGAGTTTCTCTGATGTTATCCTTCCATCTAATTCTTGGTCTACCCCGTGGTCTACGTCCTTCTTCTCTTTCCATGTATGCTTTGTATGGTATGGTGTCACAAGGCATTCTCTCTAAGTGGGCAAACCATTTCACTTGCTGTCTTTGTATGTAATCCAGAATTAGTTCTGTGCCGACTTGTTCTCTTATGATCTCATTCCTGATCTTATCTCTTATGGTCACTCCTACAGCCCTTCTCAGACATCTCATTTCCGTGGTTACTAATTTTCTTTTATGGTTTGTTGTGAGTGACCATGTCTGGCACTGGTAGCACAGAGTTGGAATAAATATGCTTTGAATAAGATGTCTCTTTGTGCTGACTGGGATTGTCTTATGCTGTAAGAGGGGGGTTAGCTGTCCCAATACTTGGTTTGCTTTACTGCATCTAATGTCAATTTCTTTATCCAATTTCCCATCTTCGGTAAATGTAGTTCCCAAATATTTAAACTAAGATGCCTGTTTAATGCCTTTGTATTCCATTGCTATGTTTAGATCTGTCTTCTTTTTTCCTACTGACATTACTTCTGTCTTTTCAGTGTTGATTCTCATATTATTTGTTTTACATTCTTCATTCATGGATGTTAGATGTTGTTGCAATTTCATGGCTGTATCTGCTATCAAGGCCTGGTCATCTGCAAAGAGTAATTCGTTGATCTTACTAAGATTTTCATTCAAGGGCTTGGCATTCTTGCATATACTGTCGATGTAGGTGATAAACAGCAGTGGTGATAAGACACACCCGTGTCTTACTCCAGAAGTCACTGTGAAAGGATGAGATGTTCCCTGATTTTTTTCTAACTACACTTCTACAATCCCTGTATAAACTTTTGCACACTTCGATGAGGTGTTCGCTTTCTCCATATCTTGCCATTATTTTCCATAACAATTGTCTGTCGACTCTGTCAAATGCCTTCTCCTGGTCTACAAATGCCACAAATAAGTTCTTATTGTATTCAATGTTCTTTTCTATTAACTGTTTAAGTGTGAAGATTGCATCTGTGCAGCTTCTATTTCTCCTAAATCCCATCTGTTATTCTGCCAGCTGTGGTTCTATCATTGGTCTCAGTCTTGTTTCTATTATCTTGGCATACATTTTGCCAACATGGCTTAAAAGAGAGATGCCTCGATATTGACCACATTCTCGTTTGCTTCCTTTGTTCTTCCATAATGGTATAACTATTGTATGTTGCCAATCAATAGGGGCCGTTTGTTGTACCCATGCTGCATTGAATATTCTGTGAAGCCATCTGTTGCTGCTTTCACCTGCTGCTTGAATTATTTCTGTTGGTAATTTATCAGCTCCCGGTGCTTTATATTTGGGAGCCTGTTTAATGACTTTTTCTATTTCATCCATTAGTATGTGTGGTTCTAACACTGTTGCTCTGTGCTCTTCAGTTGTTCTTTCCTGATGATCTCCTATAGGATTAAAGAGCTCAGTGAAGTATTCCCTCCATCTTTCTGCTATCTCGGGTGGATCTATCAATGGCCTTCCTGTCTTATCATTAATTATTTCAGTGGGGTTGTAGCTCTCATCTCTTTTCCGCATATTTTTAACTACTTTGAAAAATGTTCTGCTGGCTGTCTTCTCATTTTCTGCTAGTGACTCACCGAAACGTTCCCAGGATGCTTGTTTTGCTTTCTTGACACTCCTGTTTGTTTCTCTCCTTTGCAGTCTATAGTTTATATAATCTTCTTCTTTCTTTAAATTTTATCCACTGTTTATATAAGTCTTTTTTCTTTTTAATTGCTTCTTTGCATCATTGTTTGCCACGTTAATAAAAGGGGGGAGGGTGAAGGAGTGTCTGTAGCTGATCTGGAAAAAAAGCAGCGTATTACCAGGAATCTGTCGATTAGTGAAAGGAAATTGAAGATTCCCACATACACGCAAAAGAATGTTGCATGAACAATCGCTATCAACGAAGAAAAAACAAGATTACCCCATATATACAAAACGATTCCTAAAGTACTTTTGTTTTGCTCCTTGATAATGACTTTGATCGAAAGGTTTGCTTGAATTTGTGCAATCCATCGCCTCAAGGCTTTCTCTCCCTGGCGGTACGCAGTACCTGTACCTTTTTATGCATCATTTTAGAACTACTATAATAGATCCCTTTATGGTGAGTACCGGCACCCTTTTAGACACTTTTTGGTGAGTAGCGACACCGGTTTTGTTCCACTAGAGTTAAAGCTCTGTCTCCGTTTTGTTAAACTTCCTAATCATATCTTCTTATGCGTTCATTTTTTTTTTTACGTTATAGGAAAAGAGAAGAATGCAACGCTAACCCCCCCCCCCCCCCGCCCAAATGTGGAACCCTCAAGGACCTGTGCCGCCAAGTTCTAACGCCTAAACACTATGTGTCCGAATTACATTTTGAATTTGTCCGTCTCTTCAGCAGGACAAATCAGTGTACTACTTTGCGAAGTTGTTACACATACTCTAACTAGTCTATTTATGTGGTTGAACGAGGTATCTAGGTTGTACAATGTTGGATTCGGATTTTTGAGTTGCGGGGATGTTTAAAAACAAACACTACAGGCTATAGGTGTGTGTACGTGTGTGTTTGTTTGTGTGTTGTGTTTCGGGAGTCTTAAATCACAGTTAACAATACCCCACAGAAGAAATGTGTTCTGTGCGTTAAATCTACTGACTTGCTTTCTCCTGTAGTCCCCCTTCCCCACCACCATACACAAAGGTTTTTTTTTTTTTTTTATGTTCTGAGAAATAATTTAAAAAAATAAAAAACGTATATTGTGTTTTCATCTAGCATCAGTTCATGTAGTTTTTAAAAATTTGTTTTTTTATTTTTTATGACGTTCGTGAGGCCAAAAGTCATATTGGTTCAGTTCCTCACATTTCAGTGCTACCGGGCAATATATTCCTGATGCTAAGTAACCTATTTTGAACAATACGGAATTCGCCTAGAGGATTAAACAATTATCATAGCGGGGTCTGGAAAAGGGGGGGGGGAGAGGGGTGTTACTGTCATCTAGACTAATAGTTTTCTCATTTGTCATATATATATATATATATATATATATATATATATATATATATATATATATATATATATATATATTGATTGATTGGCACCTTTCCGTCTTTCCAGACGATAGTGTTATGTTGCGCTATGAGGAGACATGAGACTCACAGCCCATGGCGACGGCGAGTGTGACTAGCAAGACCCGCCCGTCTCAAGAAAAGTCTTGCACAATGATAGCACGGGATTTCAGGACCATTGTTGTCAACATTTGTGTTTAATTCCTTTCTTTTCAGACGCTTAACTCTCATCCTTTCAGCAATCATTTCTTTCTTCACTCTCATTCCCTTCCTGATATGCCCTTTCCACACAACACGGTCCATGGAATCCCCCCCCCCCCAAAAAAAAAAAAGAGTCCACCTCAATACCTGTATCATTCATGTCCCGCTTGCACATATCTTTATACCGTAGTAGAGGTCAGCCTCGACATCGTCTTCCTGTCTTTAATTTGCCATAAAGGATGTCCTTAGGGATTCTGCCATTCTCCATTCTCCAGGTGTGACCCAGCCACCTGAGCCTTTGTAGACTGAGCATGGAAAAGACTGTTGTAGTATCTGCTCTTTTCAGTACCTCAGTGTTTGTGA